TTTCTGAGCTGGCAACAAAACACAATCAGGGTGCCTTCAACCAGCAGTTAGTGAAAAAGGCGGGATGCCAGAAGAGCAGCGCTATAATTACTTGACGAAATTAGTGTGAAATGAAATTTCATTGAACTGTGCGAACATATTTTGGCAAAAWAAATGTTTATGTAAATTAATTAATGATTTTGGATTTTAGCATTTATATATGTATGCATTTTCAAAGTGTGTAATTTAGTGTTTTGTATAATTTATTAAATACCCACACTAATATTTTTCAGCAGTGGTATCCTTGGCAAATGTTATAAAAAATGCGAGTTTTGACAGCTCTCTCTCGAACCAAAGAGTTTCGTATACAGTTATCTGTGATTTCGGTATAAATGGGGCAGAGATAAAGAGATGTTTAACTCCTCTCTCACTGGAAGAGAGAGTGCAATTGCTAAGCGTCAAAACCTACTGAATTTTGACAGCTAATCGATTTCAGTAGGTTTTGACGTTTATCTTATCTTAGCAAAAAATATGTGAACGGAGGGAGTTGTTGCATCGTTCATGGTGAAAATTAAATAAATTTGGAAATTTAAAGGTATTTGATGAAAGGTTTTGTAATTTGAAGCATCAGAGTATTATTTTCAATGGAAAATTATTAAAAACATTTGATGATTGAGAGCTAACAAGCTTAAGTCCTTTTATTGGGCATTGAAAGGTCGAAAGTCAGTTGTTCTAATATACTTTAAAAAAATTTAAATAATTTCTTCATATAATAAATAACCACTATATAGTAATTTTTATTTGTACTAAATGTTGGTTGTTTTAATTTAAATGCCCAAAAATTATTATTTTGTACAATCTGGGGGGTCTTGAACATCCCTCTATTCCTGAATGGGATATGCACGGATAGGGGAGCTTCTCCAGAAGAGGAAATTGCAAAAATAATGTAGCTAACACTTATATTTTTTTTTTAAATATTCTCAATATTTGACAATATTTCATTAAGTTTTTTCACTTTTTATATTTAAATATACACTCTAAACATTGAAATAAGTTAATACTTCGCTTTTACTTTGTTATATTTTAAAAATCATTTAGCACACTCATCTTTGAAAAGGTATTGTTTACAATTATGAGGAAAATGAACATTGCCGTCACATCTTCAAATACCAAATATGTAAGATTTTCAACGATTTTTCTTTGCGCGTGATTCTTTTTCTATATTAACTACAATAAAAATGCTTTCCAACATTTTCAAGCTATAATTGGACTGTGAAAATTGTTTCCTTATACATATGTATATGTATAATATGTGATTTATATTTAATATACACAAATAAGTAAAACTCTATGATAGTATTATAAAATTTATGTATATCATATCGAGGTGACTGAAGTACTTTCATAATTATTATTTTATATTATATGGTTCTTTATTAAATTTAAATAAGAAGATATCCATACGCACATCTATACTTATTTCAATTTGAAATATAATTTATAGATTATATTATAAGATTGCTAAATAAAGAAAGACGAATTATAGCGAAAAAGAAAATGTTTACCGAATTGCTCATATTTGCTTATTATCATTGGCAGCGCTGCATTTCTTCATAATTGTTAGCACATAAATAATGCTCACTACGAGTGTAAAAGGTAATTTTCAAAAAAATATTATTTTCTTACTTATAAAACCTCAAAAAGTGTAAATTGTGAATTTGTTTAGGCATTGATAGTTGTAGTCAAAATATATAGTGTAGTCAAAATTTACAAAAAATTCTAATTTTGTTTTGCATTTTCGTTAAGTGCAATATCTTAAAAATATTATCTGAAAATTTTACGTTGATCCGAATATTAGTTTTTGAGTTATTTGATAAATTACAAAGAGAGCTCGGGCACTTCAAAGCGCTATTGTGAAACTTTAAACGCGTTTTTCTGAAAACTATGCTTTTTGAAGTGGTGACAACTGTAACTCGTAAACCGCTCAGTAGCTTTTAATGACATTTATACAGCTTTTAGAATATATAATAAACTCGGGCCTGATCGAAGGATTTTTATTTTTTCAAAAATTTCTATTTTTTAAGACCAAACATTTGGAAAAAAATTTCCTGAGGACGCCATTTTGTTAATTTTTGAAAAAACAAAAAACCTTCGATCAGGCCCAATATTATCTATTTATAAAACTAATTTTTTTGTCCGATTGATTATAGATGAATCACTTATGGTTGTCACCGCAACTACCTTTTTTGAAAGAGGGTCAACACCAACAATTATAACTTTGGAAATAAATTTTTTAATTTTCGTGAATTCAAGTCAATACATTCTATAATAATGCCATATTACTACTTTTGTAAAATAACACGATTTAATAGCAAAAAGAAAATACTGAAAATTGTAATTTTTTCGTGCCTCTGTCTATCCATAATCCCTTAAATGGATTTGAAGTGAAAAATGTACATAAAGTTTATTAAATGTAGTGAAATAGCTTGTTGAAATGTTCGAGTTTTGTGAATTTTTGAAATTTAAGGTCGAATATCTCGTAAACTAAGCATTTGCGAAACCATAACCCTCTATTTTTTTTAAAAAAAGGAGGACTTTCTCTTTCCAACGGTAACTTCAGATGGCGGCGACCATATATTTATTAATTTAAAAATATTGCCAACATTAATGGCAGTAGATTTAATAGGTGGTTGCCAAAAGTTATTGCCTGTGGAGATGCGGGGTAAAGGTATCAAAATATGATCTAGTACCTGTCGGGATGCTTTTTAAAGATTGTTTACAACAGCAATGAACTTATTGAAGAAATTGCCATTTAAATGCAGGTATATTAATTTAAGAAATGTATGATAAATATTTATTTATGATCTAATTTAAGTGTTAGTTCTGTGCAAGGAAAGGATGTAAAGCTATACGGGAAGCAAAACATGTTCGACTCTGTGGCGGAAACCTCGTGGAATTCAAATGAAGCAAGTGCTTATATTAATTTTGAATACCTTTCATAAATATTATATATGGCTGCGATTTAGAATAGCATTTTTATAGGCAACAAGGTTTGATGACGAACGATTGTTTGAAATGATGCCATGTTTGTTGCTTATGCAGTCTAAGAGAAGATAGCTCACTATCCCACCAAGGAGGGTTATGATTACGAGGTTTAGGAGAGGTTTGTGATATAGACTAATTGGCAGCAGATCTTATAAACTTCTGAATCATAGAAGTTTCCTGATTAATAATATCTGTAGGAGGGAGGGTGTCTGGGTAACGTAAACAAAAGTCTTGAAATTTGGGCCAATAAGCTGAATCAGTGTTAAAAAATATTCTGGGTTTGAAGAAATTGAAATTATGGGAGGAGATTTTGGCTATGATACGAAAATGTTCGCTACCATGCAAATTATATATCGTGGAATTCAAATKAAGCAAGTGCTTATATTAATTTTGAATACCTTTCATAAATATTATATATGGCTGCGATTTAGAATAGCATCCCCGGATTTTGGCGTTAAAATAAGTATGTACGGATAGAGGAGGTCCTTCCAGATCAAGAATATATGTAGTTGCCGCTGACTTATGGTTTTTGAGATAAATCAACTATTTAAAATGCGTGTTCCTCCGATTTTTAATGCATTTTACATTTATATTTTATACTTTTATACCCACTAACACTATACTAATTAATTTCTAATAATTGATTTTATATTAAATAGTGCGAAAATAACTTTAATTCCATATCAAACTTTAGTGTTACAATATTTTGTAATGGAATAAAAATAAGATAAAAGGAAGATTATAAATAACGTCATAACTAAATTCATTATCGTATGAAGAGTAATGTAAAATCTTTCAGAATTCTCGTTATCTTGATAAATCCCGGTGTTGGATTGGGCAAAAAGGAATTCAACGCAAAAGAACTAAGCATACCGAGCGTTATTTTTTTGAAGCGATGCCGAAGGCCGCCAATGAAGAAAGGAAATCTGTTGGGTTATTATTTGTGTTCTATATTTCTTTTGGTTCTTCTGTAAAATATGAACGTAAGGTAGTACTGATTATGGCACAATTCCGATTTCTTTGGGAATCTGAAGGTACCGCTGGAAAGAGGAAGTCCTCCTGATTAAAAAATATATGGTGTTATAGGTAGCGCAAACGCTTAGTTTAGGAGATATTCGACCAAGACGCTATTTCACCACATTAAACACACTTCATTCAAATTTTTCACTTCAAATTAATCAAATTACACTACAAACTTGTAAATAACTCCATGTCTTACAATTTTAGCAGGTTTTTTTTACCTAAAAAATCGGCATTTTAAAAATTACATTTTACACTCGTTTTAACCCCATTTGTTTACCAAAAATTACGACGAAATGGAGCGCTGCCATGTGATGATAAGGAAATTCGCCGAAATTCCTCTTTGTCGCAAAAATTCCTCTATTCATGCATATGAATTTAATTCTTTTTATAAATTTATTAAGCAAATAAGTAATATTATATAATAATATTGTATATACATATGTATAAGTAATATTATATAATAATATTACGTAATAAAGTGTAAAGTATATTAGTACAGTACGAAAATTAAAATTTTCTTTCAATATGAGTGCAGGGTAACCAACAAATGTAACGACTTTATATCCAAAACTCATATTTTAGATATAAAAATTGATCTATCGTCACCCAAAATACAAAAAAATGTATAATGAAAAATAAATGGAAATCGCTGACAGATGTTATAACTACATTTTATCCATTTTATCACGAAAATTCAAATTTTATTTCAATATGAGAGCATGGTAACCAACAAATATAACCACTTTATAACAAAAACTCAATATATTTTTTTATTTTTAACGCAAAAAGGAGTACTCCGCGAAAGTACTTCAGTCCACCCGGGTATTCGCTCGACCAGGGTTATTTTTTTAAAGCGCCGCCGAAGTCCGCCAACGCAGAAAGGAATACTACGCGAAAGTACTTCAGTCCCCCCTGGTATTCGCTCGGCCAGGGTTATTTTTTTTAAAGCGCAGCCGAAGGCCGCCAACGCAGAAAAGAGTACTCCGCGAAAGAACTTCTGTCGATCCGGGTATTTGCTCGACCAGGGTTTTTTTTTTAAAGCGCGGCCGAAGTCCGCCAACGCAGAAAGGAGTACTCTGCGAAAGTACTTCAGTCGACCGGGGTATTCGCTCGGCCAGGGTTATTTTTTTAAAGCGCAGCCGAAGGCCGCCCCCGCAGAAAAGAGTACTTATATTTTTTAAAATATGCACTAATAACACAAGGTATTTCTCTATCTTCCATTAAATTTATTCTCGTTTTTCGCTCTGTATATTTAAATATACACTTTAAACATTGAAATAAGTTCACATTTCAATTTTATTTTGTAATATTTCCCCTAAATTTATTAATTTAAAAATCACTTAGCGAACTCGGCGTTGCAAAGGTTAGATTGTTTACAATTATGAGGAAAACGAGCGTTGCCACAACTTAAACACCAAATATGTAGGATTCTTAACGATTTTTCTTTGTTTGTTATTTTGCGTAATTCTTTTTTCTACATTAATTATAATAAAAAATACTTTCTAACATTTTTTAAGTTATAATTGAGTTGTGAAAACTTTTTCCACATATTATACATTTTACATATAGTATGTATATGTATAATATATGATTTATTTTTAATAAACACGTATAATTAAAACTCTATGATAATATAGTATTATAAAATTTATATATGATGTCGGGATGACTGAAATACTTTAAAAAAATAACCCTGGCCGAGCGAATACCCCGGTCGACTGAAGTACTTTCGCAGAGTACTCTTTTCTGCGTTGGCGGCCTTCGACCGCGCTTTAAAAAAATAACCCTGACCGAGCTAATACCCGGGGGTCTGAAGTACTTTCGGGTAGTACTCCGTAATTTTTGGTAAACAAATGGGTTTAAAACGAGTGTAAAATGTAATTTTTAAAATGCAGATTCTTTACGTAAAAAACCTGCTAAAAGTGTAATATATGGAGTTATTTACAAGTTTATAGTGTAATTTAATTAATTTGAAGTGAAAAATGTGAATAAAGTGTGTTTAATGTGGTAAAATAGCGTCTTGAAATGTACGAATTTTGCGAATTTTTGAACTTTAAGGTCGAATATCTCCTAAACTAAGCGTTTGCGGTACCTATAACCCTATATATTTTTTAATCAGGAGGACTTCCTCTTTCCAACGGTACCTTCAGATCGCGGCGCCAAAGAAATCGGAATTGTGCCGAAAGGAGGGAAATCTGATCTGTGTTGAAGTAGCAATCTCTCTTATCTTTCAGTGTTGGACAAATTTCTAATATATGAAGCACAGTTGTTGTTGAGTTACAAAACGGACAGTAGTTGGTACCGTTCCTTCCGAGGAGGTGATCATGAGTCAGTATAGTATGTCCAATCCGTTGTCGAATGTATGGTGTTATAAAATTAGTTGCAACTGTTGGTGGGTGGGATAGCGGTTTGATTCTGGCTGTGTTAACTATTGAATAATGGTGGTTATATGAGACCCAATCAAGTGCCTTTAGAGAGCCTATTTTGGTGTATGAGTCGGAATATATCAGATTTCATAAAGAAACTGGATGTAATTGTGGGCGTGTTGGATGCATTCTTTGCTAATACATCTGCGTAATTATTTCCGGATAACCCAGTGTGACTTGGAACCCACATTATCTTAATTTTATATATAATAAGATATTCTCTAACTGAAATGATGATGTTAGTGTGGTTGTTGCAATTTTGAATGGCTTGGAAACATGATAAGCTGTCGGTGCATATTACACATTTTCCCGGGCTTTTTGTGGCATGTAGAACAGCATGGAAAATCGCAGTGGCTTCAGCAATGAATATCGAACAAAAGAGGAAAAGCAGTCCATATGAAATCTCCAACTGCCATGTTTCAGAGTATTCATAATTTCACAAAATTGTGATACATAGCAAACGAACTAGTTTATCAATAAACGTGTTTTTTGGAATCAACCATTGTGGATGACGACGTTTAGGGAGTTTAGCAGGTTTTAATGGCAAGCTGTTTGGTTTGGCGAAAATGGTGCATTTATATATAGCTGACTAAAATTTTGGAGGTCGGATACGTGATGATGATGAAGAAAAGGATGGATCTTCGGGTATAATTTGTATGTGGTGTCTTCCATATTGTCTATCAGAGAGGGAAGACCGGACTCTGCTAATATATTTTTGATTGGTGAAGTGAGGAATGCTCGAAGTAATCTTCTAACAGCGGAGTGATACGGTGCAGCCAACAATTTTAGGTGACTTTTTGAATGATGCCCATATATTTCAAGAGCGTAATTGATGACGGAGAGTATGAGTGCCTTGACAACATTAATTAGCAAAGATGGGCCAATGAGCGAACGCTTGTATGCTAGGTACTTAACAATATTTGAGTTTTTAGTAATTCTATTTCTAATATRTTGACAATGTTGTTTGAATGCATATTTACTATCTAGAATTAATCCAAGAAACTTAAGTGTAGGAGAACATGAAATATTTACATTGTTCAATGAAATCGGTGGAAAATGACAATTATGTTTTTTACAAATGTGGAGTAAACTGGATTTTAAGTACGATATTGATGCGCCTGCGGAAAGGGACCAAAGGGAGAGTTGAGAAAGGATTTCTTTAAAGGTAGAGGATATAGAACTAAGGTCAGAAGATTTTGAAAATAGAAGGAGATCATCAGCATATAATTGATGCTGAATATTAGGGAAGGAAGAAAGGATAGAGCTCATTTCATCAAATGCTATGGTGAACAGAATAACTGATAACGATGATCCCTGAGGAGTGCCGTTATCCAAAGCAAGAGTCGGTGAAGATGTGCCAGAAATAAGAACTTTGATTTTACGTTTAGAGAGAAAGGATTTAACAAAACTAAATATACGGGGGCCAACCGTATTTGGCGAATTCTAAAGCTATATCCTGTGGATATAGTATA